GGAAAATGGGGTGCACAACCTGGGCTGCTGCTGGACCGGGACCACTCACTGCGAGCTCTGGGATTCCGTTCCAAAGCAAGGGTATGCAAGGGCGACTGGTTGGACGTTTCGTCTTGGAGTCAGGTATTCCGAGAGAATCGTGCCTCACAAGGAAAGTAAGAGTTCAAACAGCTTTCTTTGGTCTAGCCGCGACTATGGCAGAAGATGCCTGCTCGAAACCAAACTTCGAATGTGCGTGCCTTGCAACCAGATTGGTGCAGCCACCAGCTGCCAGCGAGCAAAGCCCATCCGTGGCCAGGGAGCGCTCCCCAAGCTGCAGGGAACGGTGATTTTAAACATCGAAACGGCGAGGTCTTGTTCCAACAAATTGAACACTTCCCTGTCTGGTCATTCCACCTTCGGCGAGATGAATTCGCAACTTTACCACTTGTGGGCACGAATCCAGCAGCCAAACGCCAGGAGCCAGAACCCCCATCGCGCAATTGCCCCACATTTCCAATTCTCGAGACGATGCTCATGTGACTAGTGCGATAGGTCCGATAGGGCTTTCCGGGCTGGCATCAGGCATGTCGGCAGGTGCACACTGTTCAGTATTGTTGTTCTGGTACGCATGCTTGGATATCGACCAGGCAGTCTGACCATTGATTTAATTTAGTGGTCGCCAGCAGACAGCTGCACCCCTCAGCTTGTGATCTCTAGTCTCCCCCACACTTGTTGCTTCGAACACATGGCGTTTGCGCAAGTGGCTGCCTTCGCATTCTTTGAGAAATTGAGGAGCACGCCGCTTTCAATATCGTGTCGGGGTTCCTCATGCGGTGCGGCAGGGATCCTATGCGCGTCCTGTCGGCGCGCACGTTGGCGTTCCGGAGTGCAGAACCGAAGACGTCTCTCCAGGATCACTACCGCCTTGCAACGTGTTCTTCGCTCCTGCGGGCTTCCTTCAGTTTTAGTATAGGGGGGATTAAAGCATGGCTCCCTGAAGCCAGCACTCCCCATGCACAGACGGCCAAGGAATATGAACTAACATGTACATACGAATTCCAAGACAGCTTTAGACTGCCATGTGGCAGGTGACTGGTAATTTTAGGCCCAACAGCACATAATTTCAATTCACATTGCTTTCCATGCAAATCGAACAGGCCCCAGCGCACGCACTCATATCGCGCTGGTCCTGTGAGCATCGCGCTGCGAATTAATGATGTGGCACCACAATCCTCGAACATGCCACCAAGGGCCTCTGTAGTGAAAAAGCATCTGGCATGATCACTACCGGCACTATATCCTACCTGCATCAATGCACCAACTTTTTTCTGGACCCTCAGCCATCATTCGGGCAGCTTGGCAACCCATGCCAAGCGATGTGGGCGGCTTCTGGTTTGAGGCTGAGGTCAGATTCGCGTTGCCGTGCATACGTCTGCTTGATGGCTTGAATTTTCCGCTGCTTGCTCAAAGGGCAGTTTGGGCCAGTCAGTGACTCAGCCCTGCACTTCGTTGCTGACACTCCGCACAGAGGGGTTGCCATGAGACCAGGCGCAGTCCGTTAGCGTGCTAGGGGTCGTTTCGCAAAGCTGAGGTGCGTTGTCTCCCCTCTCCTGTCGGGCGTTGCTACACCTCTCAGCTTTAGGGCGACTAGTTTAAAAGTTTTAAGACGCGACCAATCTCCAGAAACACAAGCTCGTTTACAGCGCCACACGTAGAAAATTTTGCGACAGCCATTAGCAGGCCATGCCTCGGAATGTGCCAACTGCTTTAGCTTGCTGTAGATTGGCCTGGTTGGACAAGGCACAGCCACTGCTTGTCTGCAATTCGTGCGAAACAGTGACCAATCTGACCCCCTAGCTGCGAACTGAAAGACCACAAATGACAGACATGACCAACAGACATGACAAAGTACGCTGGTCCTACACCTCAACTCAGCAGACGGGTTGCATCTGCAGGCCCCAAGCAATCGAGGACCCAACGACGTTGGCGGTCACACCTTCCGTTGACAGAGCTTGGAGAAATCGCAGGATGAAAAGCAAGTCAGGTTGCTGCCGTTGCCTCGGAAGAAACCGTGCACGCCATCAGCCCGGAATGTGGAGGCAGTTGCCTGACACAAGGAAACGGAAACTGGATACCTGAGTGAGCAATCTCGTCCTTGCATAAGCTATTTAGCCCTTTGACAAGACTATCAAACTAAGCCTTGCTACACAAGGCATTGGGCCCACATTTGGGCCAGGAATCTGTTGCAGACATGAGCATTAGCATGGGCATCTGCTGTCTCAGCCCTACCCTGCTGTGACTTCTGCGAGTCAGCAAAGCATTGATAGAGACAGAAAGAACAGAACGCACGAGTAAAATTGCCTTCGCAGTGCTGCATCAGGGATACGTTTCAGACAGAACATGCCCTTGTGTTGTCTTGACCGGCCTACTCTTGTATTCCGTAGCCTATGCGGCTGGCAGAATTTGGTGTAAACGAAACTGTCTCTTAGTTTTGAAGGGTTCAGGTTCCTTATCTGTTTAGCTCATGGCCCAACTAAATTTTAAATGCGTTCGGACAAAGACGTACGGAAGATGGCCTGCACCAGGGAACCATATGCATGCACCTGGCCAACGGTGCCGTCGAGCACTTGCATGCCTTAGGACTTTGGCCGTGGCGGCCACTACGGAACGCGGTGTACGCGAAGCAGGTAATGCCATCACGGACATGTTATGTCTATCAGGTGCGAGAGTTGGTAAGCGCGGCTCTTGACAGAGACGGCAAGGAAGTTAGGATCCAAGTAGCGGGTTTTCAGCACATCAAGTGGATGCCAGGCCCAGGTTTGCACCGCAGCAGCAACAGCCGCTGCCACGGAGTAAACCTCAAAGCCAACATTTTCACATATTGTATCTCATGGCAAACTACTCCACCATGAGGTATTTGCACTCCTGTAGCCAGAGCTCTCGCGCCGGCAGCACCTGGGCAGCTTCACCATCGCCCATGGCAGTGCCATGCACAGAGGCGACTTGAATCCGTGAGAAAAGGAAACACTGGCATAACAGAAGCACATCATGCAACACGACATGAGCTGCTAACTCGCGATCAGCGATGGACATGAAAGCGGCGGGCCAAGAGTGGGCCAAGTCATTTCCTAGCATCGGACCGCAAGGAAGTCTGGTTCCCTATCTGTGTAGTGGTCGAAGGGCTGACTTTGCTTGACTGTATGGGCGCAAATGCCTTCCCCAAATGGAAGCTGCAGAGCAGCTCATGACTTTCTGCAGAAAGTCGGCAGTGCAAATGCGAACTTGAAGCGAATGAGTGCACGGCGGACTGTTGATTCGGATGCGTCTCAGCAAGGACACCCTGCTTTCTGAAGCAATCAAAGCTCTTCTGCGACTTCTAGTCGACTTCTCAGCTTCTGGGCGAAGGCCTTGGCACAGCCACGTCGGTGTTCAGTGAAAGAGTCGGGGCGAGTCGGGAGCCAACTCACGGTGTAAAGACGTTTGGCTGACCTCTTCTGCACATATTAATTTTGGTTGACAAAGCCAAAGCGCGTACACGGTCCTCCGGCAAGCCCTGTTGAAGTGACCGGCCCAAACCCAAACCCCAGAGTAGACACGTCAAAACGTCACTACGGCCCAGCACAGCCTCGCTGCGTCGCGCCGCAACCTCCAGGGCCTCAGTTTTCCGTGCTTCTCATTCTAATGTTTCACACACGACACTGAAAGAAGTGACAAACACCAATAAAACCATTTTAGCTTCCCGAGTTCTGGGAGACACCATAGTCGCCTGTCAAACATGGCCAAATGCGCAAGGCTTCGCGTTGAGGGACTGTTGCTGGACTTAAGGACGACAGTTTCTACTGTCAGGTGCAGTTTGGGTGCTCGTCGGCATGCTCTGCTATAGAGATCGAGGAGCAGCACAGAAGCTGCAGCACCGCAACTACAATCAACTTCCCTGCCAGCATCATTAGATTTACGCGTGTGCGCCTGTTGGTAACTGTGTAATCGAGCCCCTCCTCGTCCTGAGAATCGGGCCGAATACGAACGCCCATCCTCATGAAACTCCACAGCTTTCGGGTCCGCGGAAAATTCCTTGGCACTTCGTTCGACGAGAGACTCTGTCAAATCCCCACGAAGCCGTAAACCAGGAAAGGTGGTAACGGAAACCAAGGTCATAAGTCGCACCAGGAACATCCCGACTCCGGAAACGGAAGCCACCCGCCAACCTAATGCGACTCAAAATAGCAATCCCACACAGCAAACAGGAAGTCGAAAGCCTCAACCCGTTTCAAAGCGCCAGCTTGGGAAAATTCCCGAACTCCGACACCTATTGCTGGGAAATGCCAAGATCAGTTCTGCTGGTTGGTTCTTGCGAATTTTGGTTGGTTCTTGCGAATTTATTGTGGGCTCTTGCTGCGATCCGGACGAAACCGGCTTGCATCCTGCAAGCTTGCGGCCTACGGGAGTGCGATGGCAAAAAGAGGCTGCACGGGCCGCGCGGGGTGCTGCCTTCCCATAAACCAGGGGTGCAGGACGGGAACCACAAGACCCTTGAACGACACGTGTCCAGGAGGTTCAACTGCTAGAGCAGATCAAGCTAATGTGTGCCCTGGCTCCAACAGCTTCGCTGTCAGCAAGAGCGCCGGCTCCTGACATGTAAGGTTGCGGCCTGTGATCTTATCGCAGCATGGCATGACAGAACCACACAGGAAAGAACAGCGAAAACCAAAGCAACTGAGAGTGCCAAAGCAAAAGCAAGCAGTGAAGCAAAAAGGCCTGTTCCCGTTGTTTGGAATTGAAGGCTCCAGCAACGAAAGCCAGAAGTCACAGGATTCTTTGCAAGCCGCCGACTCTGCGGAAAGGCTGTCGAGTAGCGGAGCAAGCACAATCAAGGGGCACGCACTGTCAGTGTGCTGCTTCGCTGCCCAGACAGAAGAAGATGCCTTCCTAGGGAAGGGACTGCGTCCTCCGTCTGACATGACAAATGATGGAACTCGCAGGGATCGCAGAGTGATCGCAGTTGGCATCATCTACGAATGTCAACAGTGATGATCGCTTTCACTTGGACGAGACGTCGGCAGTGTTGCATTCAAAGACAGCCATAACGCTTTCGCCTCTGCGACACAGCAGGCTGCGAGGCCAAGAGCTGTCAAAGCCGGGCGCTGCGCCGAAGGCAGGCTGCGGAGGTTTACCTGCAGGGAACCGGAGGGTCAGAGACGGCAGGGAGACCCTCAGAGGGTTCGCGAAGCCCGCCGTGCTTCGCTGGGTTGTCAAGACAGGGTTGAGGACCGGGAGATCGTCTGGCATCGAGCTGATTCTTCGAGCATTAGCAAGGGAGACCAACCTCGGCACCAGAACAAACACCCCTCCTAACACGCAGCTCGAAAGGCACTGCTAAGAATTATCGCGTGCAATCTGCGCTTATGGCAAGATGAGAGGGTCTGTATTTGCACGCCTCCGCGCCGGAGTGCAACAGCACTGCTAGCCGCCGTGCATCGCCCTTGGTCACATGACTTGAAAAATCAAGAGGTCATAGTGCCAGGCAGCAAAATCCTTGAATATGCTTGGTGTCGACGACTGCCAGTTGAAAGGTGCTGAACGATAAACACACAAAGGCCTGACAACGAGTGCTAGAGACGAGATGCAATCCTCTTGTCGGCCGGAGCCCGTGCTCACTTCCCATAAGATGAGCTCGACTGAAGACCAGGCAGATGAAACTCTGTGAGCATTGTTCTATACAACGACATTAAGATGCTCACAAACTGTTGAAACAGCCAGTGCTGGGTTCTGCAAAGCTTCCGTCAGTCCTGATGTGGCAACAGCCCAAAGCCTCCGAAACCCAAATCACTGCTCCAATTCCAAAAGCTTCTCGGAAGAGAATAGCAGAAGAATTGCAGCGGGTCCCTATGAGCGTCACAAGTAACCAATGAGGAGCAGTGAATGGTGTACATGTGCAGCGCTTGCAAAGTCAAGGCATGTAGCGAATCTTTGATCGCACTCCCAATCCTCACCATGGTCGCAGTGCAACTGACAAACAAGCACTCAAGGGATGTACAACTTCGGAGTGAATGCAGGCAAGCGGAGGGGTAAAGGGCTAGCCTAAAACCCCAACCAGGCACAAGAGGGAAAAATTTGAGGACCGATGTAAGTTTGATTGACTCGAAAGCTAGACCTGAAAGGGGAGCAGCAATTGTTTGCAGAAGAGCACACCTGCAAGGTTCGACGATGTAGAGCAGAAAATCCGTGAGAGTCGAGGTCGTCCTCTCCACAGGCAACGCTCGAATCAAATGTTCAGAAGTCTCGCCATTCACTTGCTTATGCTTGACGAGATGTCGGCTGCACGTGATACACATGCACCAAAGATTCATCAGAACAAGACTGCTAACAGCATGTCGAAAAGAATGTGCTCGAGCCCACTACATTCTGCAACGCCTTTCTCCGGGTATGCATGCACGTTCGCACCTGCGTACTTGTGTGCGACTACTACGACTACTGCTCCCACTACTACGACGACGACTGACTACTGCTTCTACTTCTACTTCAACTTCGACTTCTACTTCTACCTCTACGTCAACTTGTACGTCTACTACTACTACTACTACTACTCCTACTCCTCCTGCTGCTGCTACTACCACCACTACGACCTGCCACGACCGCTACCACTACTACCGCTGCTGCAACTTGCAGCGAATTGAAATTAAGAGCTGCGATTGAAACGACTAAGCTTCATTCTGATTCTGTCCCACAACCTGGGTTTCACTGACACATTGCGTTCTCCGGGCCTTCTCTGCGAAGACGACCTCCGGCTTTCTGGGAAAGTCCTAACAGTGCAACATTTTGAAGAAGCTGTGGCACGGCGGAGACCAGAGCCGCCAAGGTTTCCAACTCATTGGATTCAGAAGGCCGGCCGTTTCAGACAACAGCTGCTCTGATATCTGCTCTCGCCTCTGTATGCTTTGCATCAACTCAGCTGAAGGTGGGCTCTGAAGACATCCAACGGTTACAAGGACACGCCATCTCTCACCAGTTCTTTGTTCCGTGACAACATGTTCTTGCCAGCAGTCCTCTGGAAGAGCCGCCACTTGCCCGACGACATCGTTCCACTTGAAGTTCTGATTCTCGAAGGCCTTCCTGCCCAGGAGCGAAGCACCCAGAAGAATGCCTTGCCTCGTGAAACCTGCTGGCCAGGCAGGATCAAATGCATGCTTTGCATTTCGCTTCAAGTGGCCTGAACTGGCAACCATTTGAGAAAGTAGCTCAGCTGAAATTATCATGAATCTCCCCACCTCGCCTCATGACATTCGTCCGAACCTGCCACGGTCCAGGCCAGACATGCTCGCTAAGTTAATTGGCCTTAGCCTCTCCTATCAATCCTATAAGCTTCTGAGTGAGCCCATTCTCTGACAATGGCTTTGCCGCTGACGAAAGTTCATGGTCCACGGATGCGCATGGTCCATGGCCACATCTGCAAGCAGCACGTTTCTCCACATCGCAATGCCTGCAACTTACCGCGACCAGCCCATCCAAACCGCGAAGCAACCACACCAGCAGGACCCATCTTATTACACATTATTTGCGATTTGACGAATCAGCGCCTCCAGCAAGTCCTCGTTGGGGTTCGGGAGTCCGATGCTCAAAGCCACGACCTCAAACATGCTGCGCTTTGTTCTGTAAGAGCTGCAAATCTGCAAGCGTGGCCCTACACTGAGCAAAAACTTAGAGTTTAGGGCGCAGTCTCGGCTAGCTAGAAGCAGTTAAAACTGGTGTTAAAAAAACTTTGTTATCGCTGACACCCTCAACTTGCCTTCTTTCTCAATCATGATGCAGAACTTGGCTCCCCTGCGAGCTCTGCTTTGCTGGCGTCCACATCTGCCGGCATACTCCTGTAGCCATCTGTTGCAACGCATGCATTTCACAGAAGACTACTCCGTGGCAAAGAGCCACTCCAAATGTGCTTGCACTATCGAGCAGCGAGCAAAGAAACTATGCCACTTGAGGATTCTTCGGCGTTGGCGTTTGAGTAGGCATTCATGGCGCCGGCGCGCACATCATGCGAACTTTGCTGTTTCTTGTTGCTGCCCCCACCTCCACTAGTCACTAGCATTAATTGGCTACGATGTATTTGTTCTTTCTAGTCATCGCTCCGGCTGCGAAATCAAGCACGGATGATCTTGGCTCGAGGGGCCCCCCGCCCCGCCCCTTCGTCGTGTTCGGAGGTTGGGATGGTCGCCGATGCAAAAATGTTAAGTCACGGGTGCAGGGATTACGCATTGGTGTCAAGTTTTCGACATGCACGACAACTTCGCATCGCAAACATGGCAACACGATGGTCCTTGAGCTTTGTTAGGGACAGGGTTGCAGACACGGCTTACGCCAGAACAGAATTCACCAACCACCCAGACCACGGGGCAGGACGAGGCGACGGGTTTGCGTAATGCTCTCTGCGACAGCCAGTGCATCTTGATGGGCGAGAACCGTAACCACCGTGCGGACGAACCACATGCCACTGCATACTGCATAGGGACCCCTCCACAACAACACCACCATTGCAGTAACAATCACAACAAGAATGACAATGCCAACTCCAATCATGCCTACATCAGCTCCCAGTGAGGGAAAGTAACTCAAAGGCCCAGGCATCCCAACACCAACCTACCTAGCCTAGCTTGTAGAACAGACAGACATGACCACAGCTTCTGCTTGCATGCTGGGGGCGAAGTTGCCGTCTGAGGCTTGGAAAAAAAGGAGCCCAGAGACCAAGAACCCAGAGTTGGCACATCTTGAGGTTTAAGGGCTCTAGGTCACATATATACCAGCTTCGGAGCTTCATAAGGCCCTGCCCACGGCTGTGGACTGCAAGATGGCCGGAGATCCACTCTGGCAGGTGCAAGAGCCCTGCTTGAAGATGCATGGTTGCCAGTTGTTGCATTGTTGCATGTGACCTCTTCGCTCTGCACCAGGCATAGCCCTTGATACGTTACAATTTGCAAGGTTTGGGCCGCAGCGAACCTGAATACCAGTCCTCAAGGAGTGGAAGCGACCACCAGGGACGTAGACGACAGAGCCAGCTGAAATGACCTAACAGTCGAACAGTGACGGAATGCACTGAGCCTGGAGACTGCAGCCACACGGCGCTTCAGGATGCCAGACTCAGCAGTCAGTGCTTGCTCAAAGCGTAGCTTCGTGGCCGTTTACCGTTTCTCAGCTGTTAAGCACCCGAATTCCGGTTGTCAGGCACCTGGCAGACTGGCTCCTTTTCTTGAGTTTGCCCTTGCACAGGGTTTGGATAGATGCACGAGGTTTGAATGGAGCATTGCTATTCGCAATGTATGTTGGATTCCATCCTCTATCAGACTCTATCAGCGGGTACTTGCTCATCACCTTTCGTGCATTTGTGCAACGGTGCTGTGCTGCCATGCCCGCCGAGGAGCAGGCTCCAACAGTGCCAAGCCGGCCAAGGCGTGTAGAGGTTCATGCAGAGCACTTACGAAGGTCTAAGCAGTTGAAAACCTCAAGTCTACACTGACCAAAGAGTAGTTCAATTCTCGACCCGCTTTGTCAAGTTTAGAGCGAAAACAGACTACGGCTCTCACGTCAAACCAGAAAACGCTCCGCAGAGGAGACTGCGAGCGAGGCACTTTGTCGAGAGTCACTCTGCTGCCAGGGAAGTGACCTGCAACACGCACCCTCTTGGTGCCGTTGAGGACATAGATCAGAGCATCCACGGTGTCCTGAGTCTTGCGAGCGCAACGAAGACAGGCAGGAAAGTGCACAACTTTGGGAACTTTCCATACTTCCACAGTTGACATGAAAAGGTCTGAAGTCTACCATGGCTCCGTGTGCCAGCCGTATGAATTCACTGGTCGCCGACCAACGCGCGCGCAGTAAAGGTCCACAGAGCCTGACACAGACAGAATGCAGACGTCTCACTTGGAAGGCAACTTCGAGCGCCGATGCGTGGGTTTTTTCGTCAGAGTCGCCAGGCCCCTAGGTGGTTGGAGATCAGAGGAGATCAGAGGATGTCTGCCTTTCATGTCAAGGAGACCGTGCTTCGCTTTCTGAGCATCTGAGCTCAGCGTTTCACTGTGACTTCGCGACGATACGACACGAGCAACTACTCTCCCGTGCGTCAGTCATGCAGGCGGGCAGAACAAGAGAGACAGAACGGAATCCCCCACCCCTTAATATGGCCTTGTGTCTGGAGCAAATCCGAAATCCGGGGCTCCCTTCTTCGCCGCCGCTACGCACGTAAAGTCGAGTGTCTCTTTGCAGGAATATTCATAAAACATGCAACGACAAACGCAGGGCCAGAGGAGATAGAGAGTGAGCAGGATAGATCTCCTGCGCGCTTGCACAGGGAAAGGGGGGTTCCCCCTCCAGCTACTTGGCCGTGAAGAAGAAGAAGACAGCTTTCATGAGTTCGAACACCTCGAGCCCTGTTGTTGCTGGTGTTTTACGACGAGAATAGACCGCTCACGAGATGCTCAGACATGATCCATTCGCTCAAGGGGGCCTGCGATGCCAAGAGTGGCATACAGCTTCGGTAGCCACTCTTGAACAGGGCTAAGGCCTTAGACACGGGAACTTGCCACCTCAATGCCTTCCTCACAGCTTCAGACTTCCTGCATTCACTATCACAGCTTCAGTCGGTTATGGAGCGAAAGCCTGCGTCAACGATTTGCGTGCACTAGCGATTACTAGTGGCTCCAGCTGGCAACCTCCGGCACATCTCAGCGACCTCGACACCTGGGCCAGTAAACCCTCGTGAAGCTGAACTGTTGGCAGAGGAGCGGTTCATGCCCTCCACAGCAAACGCCCGGCCAGGTGGAGCGTGCATGTTGGTCCAGAAGCCTAGGATGCTGCACTCTGTTCGACTCGATGCTCGTTTCGCTCTGTTTCTTCAGCCTTCCTTTGTCTTTCTTTGCCCAGAATACAGCCCCATGCTGCAGCCCTGTCTATCTAATGATAGCCACGGCTGCGGGCAGTCGCCACAGGAGGGCCCCGCCGAGATCCATCGGGAAGTGTCTGGTTGTAGGGCCGCCTCAAGCGTGTGAAGGCTCTTTCTGATCCCCTGCAGCTGGAATCTCCCTCTGCTTGATATCTCCGTCTCAATCGCGAGCCAGCCGCTCTACGAGGCTCCAAAGCAGATCCTCGGAGTCTTCCACCGGGTGGGGCACCAGGACCTGCGAGAGCTGCTTAAGCGACTGGAAACCGGCTGCGAGAAGCTAAGCTAAGCTAAGCCTCTGAGACCCTTTCCTGCGGCCTTGAAGTTCAGCTGCTCGAAAGCCTCCGCTGTATCCAAGGCCCAAACCTTGGCAACTTGGTTCGCGGTGGCGAAGTATGGCGAAGTACAAGTATCATGCGTTTTCCTGACATCCGATGCATGTCTTGTCACTTGGGTTTGGCTGCTGGAGCATTGAGACACGCACCTCCCATGGGTAGTCCTCGATGACCTTGAGCCTCAGGAGCAAGCGCCGCAGGGCAATGAATCGAATCTAAGCGATACGCATGCGGCCAGAATTCGTGCAGCTCTCAAGCGTTGTGTCGACATTAACGGACTGCTTCGTGGAGTCGATTCGTCGTGTAGGCTACAGCTGTTTCAGCTCTGACTGGTGGGAGTGAGGGCGTCAAGACGATACATGTTCTGACTCGGCTGTGCCTTCATAAGACAGGCCATTAACGGCATCATGCATTAGATTTATGCTTCGGCATTGTGCAGGTGGGGCTACGCAAAATGCCACAGTCATGACGGCAAGCTTGAGCATGAAACGGTATCTATGCACCGAGATTGCACCATCTTCTGCTCTGACAAACATGTACAAGCAACATGCTGAGATCTGTCAGAGCTGTCATTACGCCATGCAGCGGCTGAGTGGTTTGTGGAGAAAAGCTCCCAGAACTCGCTGGGTGTTCGCATGCGCCATGCTGCAGAAGGGCTAACCGAACCCAACACATGCCCCAGGTCATCCCAGGTCCAAGGGCCCATGTGCAGATTGCGCCAAGCGGCCGAACGTTCTCACAGACCCAGGAACGATGGCGCTGCTCCACCAGGAGGCTGGAGACGAGGAGACTCTCACAAAGTTGTAGCCATGTCTAAACTGACGCCCGTTGCCAGTGTGAAATCTCTGGTACCAAAGACAAACACGAAAACACATCAAACTTGGGAGTCTAGGCACGTCCTCGAAGCATATATATATATATATATGTACGTAATTGTACGTAAGGTATATAGCGTAGGCATAGACAAGAGCACACATGATACCCTTGGAAAGCTGAAGCAGATCCTAGATCAGCTTGGTTGCTTGATGTTGCTTGCGTCTACAACTTGGACAAAAAACAGGCCTTCGTTCCTTCTTTCTACGACGTGATCAAGCAAGCTACGTCCTTGCTTGCAAGCCCCTACAATCTTGCTGCAACCTCGAAGACTGGCGTATTTATAGTTCTGACGTATCAAAACTTTGCGTTTCTTTTGCGCCACTTTTATGCCGACATCCTTCCTCCGCAACAGAGACACGCCAATGTCACTGACTGCTCTTACGCTTTCAAACGCCGCTTGGTCCGGTGCCTTTTGAGCCGCTCCTTGCTGCAAGGCGTGGCCGCCACGGCGGCGACGCAGAGGAGTGCGAACCAGCGCATGAAATGAAAAGAAAAGGACTCCTCCTAGGACTCTAAGCTGGTTGTCATTCGTTTTTTCCGATCTGCATGTCAGGGCAATGTTCTTATGTCGGAGTGTCGGTTGGTTTATGCCCCCACGTGGCGGCGAGCTAAATGCGCGCATGTCTGCTGTCTTGGTAGCTTCATTTGCCTGGCCGAGTCCAAGCGCAAGAACCAGGGTTCCTTCCTCCTCGGTGGTGGGCTCATGGAGCTATCAAGTGTCGAGAACTCAGAAGCCCATCTCCTCACGACACTAACGAAAGCTTGGGGGTCAGTGGTGAGGAGCTATTCAGAGCTTTCCTGCCATGTGCTACATGTGTGCTTCAAGGCTCCAGCCAAAACATCAAGCGGGAACGTAGGGCAACAAGCTCTTCATGCAGCCACATTGGGCCTGGCTTCGCTATGCGACACAGGTGAATCATGAGGACCCTCCCAATGATCGCACACCACTGTATGCCGGTAGCATTCCGCACCACTGCAGCATGCAATCGGTGGAGCCGTGTCGGTGGTCATCCACGAAGACCCTCCCATGCAATTCAAAAAACATAGCTGACCCACTGAACTCACGATTCACTTGCTATTCAGAAGCGGCGACGCTGAGGGCAACTTTTCCTCTCAACTGTGGAACGGACACCCCTCATCGTGCTGCACAATCCATCGCCAGGTGAGATTGACTCGATATTCCTGAGAAAGGGAAAAGCATCTGGAGCTCAAGAAACAGAGGTGCGAGCCAGACGAGGACTAAAACTGAGCGTTGCAGAAATGTCCTGGGATCTGCATCGGTCAGACGCACGGTTCACTCACAGGAGTCCGACCGTTCTGCAAGTATAGCTGTCTAGCTGCCAAACTCTGTCTCTGAGAGTGTTGCCGAAACGTCCTCCTCGGGAGGAACTCGGTGTCGGTAGTGCTTTTGGCCTCAAAATAAGCGGACTGTGTCAGTAAGCCATTTTGTTGTGCTCCGGAGATGGCAGACCACCGGAAGGTCCTTCGTTTTTGGATGCCGGTACTACGCGAAAGGTCGTTGTGTTCTCTTCTCTTGCTGTTTTACCAAGACTTCAGGTGTGGTGGACTGGCCAGGCTCAGTCTCGGGCAAAGGCCCTCCATGGTGCAGAGATCACCATCCTGGCTGCCGGCAAAAGCTTGGACTCCAAATGAACTTCGGCGGCACGCACGCTCCTTACTCGCATCGCTGAATGAACTTGGCTACTTCGTATGGCTTGCCTGGACACAGGACACGACTCGAACCTCCAGTTGGAGCAAAGTTTCCTCAAATGGATCGTCCTTCGGACGAAGGCAGAAGGACCTGAAGGTGCGGCAAGCAGACAGACCCCTGCCGGAAAAAGAAGTGTTGTCAAGCAAGTACATTGCTGCAGCGCGATGGTGGCGTTGCAACGCCGGCGTTTGCACTGCTGGCAGAACTTCGAGTGACTCAGCGGGCGCCTGGTTGCACCCAACGATAGCGAGATGATGAGTGCATCTCGGCCTCAGAGAGGCGAATCTGCTGCAGTTTCTAGCTGTATTAAGTAGTGATGTTCCTGCACAAACCAGGCCCACCTGTAGCATCGAATAGCGGCTCATCGTCACAGTGCCAGCTGACCTTGGGCGAAGGCAGTTTGAGCGGGCTCTAGCAGCACTGTAAACCACCCCAGAACACATGATGAAGGGCCGTCGGACACACCAACCGCATGAGACTCTGTTAGCAACTATGCGATGACGATCGGAGCTTAGGGACCGATAATTTCGGGTTCCTTAGCCATTTGAACCGGACAGGTCGCGTTGTCCATCCCGCCCTTGTACAGGTTGGCATTGCACGAGTTTGGACGCTCCTGCAAGTGCGGTGGCTTCCAGCTGCGTAGTTCCGCGTTCTTGCCGAAATATGCCGAGCAACATCGCAGCAAATTATACCTGCGACACAACCAAACCAAAGTTTGAAGAGAGCCCTGTCTTGCGGCAGCCTTCCTGCAAGAACATATGTTGAGTTATGCCTTAAAGACTGAATACTTGTTGCAGCTGATATTGACAGCATACGTGCTGCAAGTCGTCCTAATCATGCGAGACAGCTGGCCTGATTTGACTGCAATGCCATGCTGCAAAGCAGCAACCGTTGACAAGATAGATCTGTCGCTTGCGATCTATGGGCATGCATGCAGCACGTCCTTGAGTCCGCAAGCGTGTGCCACCTGGAGTTGCAACGTGTTGCAATACCATCCGATAGAATTTAAGCAGTCCGCCAAGACGCCACAGGAGCGCTCTTTGCATGCTTGCTGCTTGCACGCTCTCTATGGACGATGCCTATTTTCACGACATATGTAAGCACGTACATACACGGTGTCTATGTGCGCATACACGTTATGAGTGCAACTCTATTCTCGCACGGCCTCGTCCGTGATCTCCAGGAACCACGGAGGCATCGTCGCGGCTGGAAACCGAAGGCCCGCATACTGCAACGTAGAGCTCTTCGCGGCTTGCTAGTTATTTTCGTGAGTGCACCGTTGAGGCCAGGAAGTTGCAGGAGCACTCCGTGTTGGCGCCTGGTACTCGCAACGGCAGCCCGGCAACGTGAGCCAGGCTGCTGAGCGAGGCAGCAGCGCTTCGCAAGGGGCGCTCTGCTCCTTACCTCTGCACCATTCTAAGAAAAGCTCAGAAGAGCAGCTCGACAGCCTCTGGGGCTCTTGGGAGACTCAATGCGCGCCTTCTTTCGGAGGCCGCTCAGGCTTCCGCCAGCAGATGCGGCTGAGGAGAGTCTGCCTCACAAGCGATAGTGCCCCAAATCCAGGTGCCGTTGCAAAAGCCTGCTGCGGAAAAACAAAGGTGGAGAGGAACTCGCAACGCTTGTAAGAGAGGTTGAGTTGGTACCGCTGCCCCACACATGTGGCCTCGCATGTTAGGTCTTGACTGACTTGCTTTGGACACCTGTGACACCCAGTTGGGAGTTCAAACACCGGCAAGCTTCGACTTGGCCTCCACTGATGCAGAGTTGAAGCTGGAAAAGCCTGTGCCAGAATGTGCCAGAGCAATCCTGTGTCTGGAAACTGCACCAACCAAAAGCAAGTCCATAGATGCAGTTCCTCTGGTTCTTGCAAGCTTGCCCTATTGAACCGTAGGACCTGCGGCGTTTGCACCGAGTACAGCTGACTAGTGCTCGTCCCACATGTGCAGGGCTAAAAATTGTCGGTGCTGGTTAATCCATGGAACCTAGAGCTCTCTGGCATGCACGGAAAGCCTGCTTGCGATAGGAGACGAAGCTGCGTCGATGGACATCGTGTACAACCTCTGCAAGGCTGATATCACCATCACTCTGCTCTCTAACCGGTCAAGCCAAGCCCAGCTAATTCGATGCGCCTTCTCCATCTCGTCATAGACGCACTTCTCGAGCGCTCTCATTGTCTCACGGCTGATCTGAGACTGTGGCACAGGCCCAGCCATCGCAGACTCGTGCCAAAGGCCCGAGGACACCGCCACCCCAAAGGGCTCGTTCCTATCGCATGCAAAGACATTTGTGGGTATACTTGCTGGGCATGTCAGCAAGCGCCTATCTGTCAGCTGTAAGAAACGAGGCACGCTCAACAACGGCGATGCAAACTAAAAGCTTCGTTTTTCTGCCTTTTCTCGGCCGACAGTTCTTACGCTTCCGAAGACAAGCTGACTCAAGTAGACTTGCTGTAGTCGGGCCCCATGGCTCCTGCAGTGTCTCCTCAGGTGGAGGCAGCGGCCTTCTGTGCCGTGTGCGGGATCAAGCAAGTAGCTAACTCGTGGATCCGTGAAAGGCGTGCGTGGGCAAAGGGCTGTGTGGTGAGTAGTGTTCGCCTGGCCTTGACCTGACATGTCATGATCTCACGCCCTCGTGAACACTGCAGTATCAAGACATTCGATACAAACCTGAAGGAGCTGATGGCAATTCCACGGCGAGAGCCCTTGCGAAAGCTGACTGAGGCCGCCGACTTCTTCTTCAGCGGTCGTGGCCTGGGCCATTTCGGGATGAAAGGTTTCGAAACGGAGCAACTCGGGGCAGGGCACTTGGCGGAGTTTGGTGGTGGATCCTTCGGCAATTCCCAGGCAAGAAGCCATCAGCGTCAAGCCTCAATTGTATGAAGCTCAAATGACCATTGAAGCTTTTGAAGAGCTAACAATATAGCAAACCGTGTGCACGCCAAACCTTTGCCAGGGTCTTTGCTTTGTTCGCTTTCGCTTTCCTCGCCGGCGGCGCCGCCGGCGTTTTCCATCAGGAGGCAGATCACCTTGCGGAACCGGGTTTGTGCAAATCAGATCGAACAGACGATGTCCGACATTTAACATTGAAGACGAAACCGTCAAGTTAATCAACGGTCAGCCATGTCCATCAACTGCTGTTTCGGGCATCCTGTCAAACTCCCCCTGCTCAATGGGATTTTCACAGGTTCGAGGGAAGAGGGAAGAAACAACTTGACAACACAAACGTCAAGGGCTAGCACTGTTGCTCCATGTGCAACAGCCCTTGTTCCGACAAACTCCCGCATGTCGCGGTGACGCGGTGTGTTCCAATTAAGAGTCCAGGCAAAAGAGCCGTAGAGTCACAGGCCAGGGCGAAACCCTTCTGAGCCCTTTCAAGAAAACTTCGTGCTCGCGGCTCTTAGTCTTAGACTTGACAGCAGTGCCAGGTGTTGCAATGTGGAGCATGTCCTGAGCACGCAGCAATCCGAAGACGACGTCATGCCGTCTTCGAAGGTGTCCTCCTCACAGTTCACACGGAAGGCGCGCTGGCTACAGTATTTAGCTAGTTTGCTAGATATCTGGTCTGCTACGAGTTCCTGCCCGTGCCACTGAACTCAAAGCATTTTTCCGGGAAACAGACTGCGGCCGACCTGCAAAACCCAATGCAGAATCCCATTGTCCTGGGACTGGAGTTGTGCGTTTGTTGAGCAGGGTCTGAGGGGGTGTTGGAGGCCTCCGCAGGCCATTCACACCAGCCGTGAGCACGCAGGCAGCTTGTCTCGATGCTACTGAACCGGACAGCAGCTCAATTCGCAATGACTGGCATGATAGTTTCCTACAACCCCGGCCATGCTATGCGTGGCTGAGCCTGACCCATCAATGGGAGTGGCAAGACTGACAGGATGCCTCGCCACTTGCAGAGACAAGTCTGGAAAGAGCCGGGTCAAATTTCCAGAAGCCAGGCCACACTCTACAAAAGACGCCCGACACAAAGCGTGAAATCAGGAGTGTGAACATGAGTAAGTATGTCTGGAACAAGGTTTTGCAACAAGTGGGCCGTCTCTCGCATATTCGACAACAAGTTCCCTGTCAATGCACCAGGATGCTTCCACCCTACAGCCAAAACGCTACATGTAACGAAAATGAAACTGCACAGAGCCGGTTGTTCTAGACCGGAACCCTAGCTTAACCTATCCTGGTGAAAGAAAACAGTCCTAACTTCCACGCGATCTAGGAATCTAGGCTCTGCACCGAAGAGTCAGGGCGTGCATTTGGTAGAGCAGCTCCATGGGATGCACCGCCTTGATGGGGTTGGGCTACGCCAAAGCAGACCAAGCATGAAGCACTGGCCACACTTCGAGCGTACAGCTATCCCAAATGCTTGGCTTGCCAAGGCATGCTATCTCCGGCCAGCGTCCAGTTAACACAGATCCAAAAATGGATATCAGACAGAAAAACTCCCACTGAACGTTGACTGACTTAAGCCCAAGGAGCAGGAACTCGACAGGCGTGGTAAAGCTGACACTGGCCCTGGAGCCTCGGCCATCCACCAGTGGTGCTAAAGTAGGAGCTTCAGCAGCAGGAGCAGTAGCAGGAGAAGCAGAGTCGGAGACGTGGTCCTGGTCGTCCTCGTCCTCCTCCTCGTCGTCGTCTTACAGCAGGAGTAGTACGAAGAGAAGGAAGAGCAGCACCAGGTAGTGACAGGAACCACTGATGCTGCTTATATGTGCCATGATTTTCTGAACTGGGCCACGCTGTCCGCTCCAACTTGAAATGCCTCAGGCCTACAAAGACTCGAGGCTTGAGGCCAGACCCTTCCATCCCCAAGTCCGATGGTGCAAAGACACTAACACCCCACAGTAGCGAGATGTTGTGGGTGTAGGGCTTTGGATGGCATTTGCGTGGAGTCCTGGATGTCCTAGACTAAGGGCATTGGAACTGCTGCAACTCGCGCCAAGGAAGGCCCAAAGAAACCTGAAAAGAGAACAGCGGCCTATGAGAAGGACAATCAAAGGAGCTGGAGGCACAAGGATGTGACAAACCGAAAGTTGTTAAAAAAAAACGTCAAAGCAAGTGGCGGTGTCGATGGTCGCTGTCCGTGGACATTGGGATCCAACCTGCTGGCAGGGAAGAGCCCCCTTAACTCCGGCTGCGAGAACGGTAGGAAAACTTCACGTCCAAGCAAGGACCGCCCTTGCACTGAAAAACCTTGCACACTCAGGAAACCTTCTGAAGCGAAAATCATGAGGATCTAAGCAGGATGGGGCCGGAGCTATGCAAGGCGTAGAACTGTTCACAGCGACATGCAAAAAGCGACGCAGCAAGATAAGAAACTGAGACTGAGTGGCCGCACTGAGCGTACTGCCAGCTGGCTGGAAACGCGAAGGCACGCGCCTGCGGAGACCTGGGCTGCAAGGCTGATAGAAGATCACTGAAAATCTACCAGACGTTCTGCGTCTGGCGTGCCCGGCGGCTACGCCAATCTATGTCAGCTCAAGACAACTCCGGCATGGGCCGAAATCTTGTGCAGGGCCAGCACGAGCACTTTCTGGCTCTCCTGGTTTCTCTCATTGGCCAGCATTGCCACAGTTGCGACATCGCTGGTTCAAAAGAGAAGGCGTTCTTAAGCCTACGTGGCAAGCCTACGTGGCCTACGTATGCCGGAGTGGTTTATAAGGATGTTCAGGGCCTGAGACCCGCAAGCCCCTGCTTCACCACTGCAGTCCAGCTGCCAGTTCTCCATAGGAGCGGCCACACAAGGAACCTGGCTTACAGGTGACCACCCGAGAGAGTCGTAGCATATGGGCGTGGCAGGGCCATCGACTGTGGTCTACTCCACCCTGCTTGATTTTCTGACTGGGCCCCTCACGGATCACATGGGATTGGGCATCCAGTGTAGGTGCAGGCAGCCGCTGTCCACGAGTCGGTGTTTGGCTGCGGGATGCTTTGCCTAGAAAGGCTTCGTCTCCGTGTTCCATAGTGGGACTGCTCAGGGCTTGGTCTCGCTGCTTCTAGTAAACCGTAGGGTCGATCTGTTCCAGAGGTCTGGAGCACCGCTGCATCTGATGTTGTGAGCAAAGTGCAGTTGCAAGATCGTTGCTGAGTTTGCTGATCTTTACGGATGCTGCGCAACCCCAGTGCACGATGCTTGGAAGTGCGAGTGAGCGCTCAAGCTGCAGCAATGCAAATGCAACAGATATGCTAATGAGGACGACCAATGAACAGAATCGTGTTCGATTGTAGTGAGACTTGCAGACTTCCTGACGCGATAGATGCATTTTTTGTCAGCGCAGTTTTGCGGCACGTAGAGGTTCGGTCCCCAATGGCGACAAGGAAAAGCCACAAATTTAGATCAACGGCACTTGGACTATTTTCTCCTCTATTTCACCATGGGGGACCCCAATCCTAAAGCGACCACGGAGCCAGCTTTCGGCTCGCAGTGACCGCCGGTCGTTAGCTCGCAGGGTTCCTGCTGGAATGGTGGAATGGAGACAGGACTATGGAGACAGGACTCCTCAATTCGAAGAAGATTGCTTGTCGCCTGCAGCGGCCGTGCGAATTTGCCAGATAACAGACTCCGTGAGCATCTGAAGCCTTCGGCATGCGGCTTCAGCGGTTGAGGCGTGGCGGCTTCATCCCGCGCGCCTGAGAGGGGCAATCCAACAGGGTTCAAGCGATGCTCAGAATGGCTTCATGAGTAGGCCGACTTCAGCCATGACAGGTGCCATGGAACTGAATCATGCATTGAATCCTCGAGCTGGACTGGAGACGAAGCGGTTGTCTGAGGATGCTGCGCTGCCGTTAGGCGACTTGCCCAACTGGCAACAAGAAATTGTCTTTTTGGGCTGAAGGCTTTACTCAACTTTCCACGTGCCTGGAAGCTTGGTGCCGCAGAGGTTACGGACATGCCAGACCTCAGGATATGGCGATCTGGTTTGGTAGGGCGTGCAGATCTCGTAGGTTCCTGGCGGACTGTTGTCCACGGATTTGTTGTCCACAGTCGGGCTCGATTTGCCGGCCGTCCAGTCTACCGCCTGGCCCGGCCGCAACTCGAAGCACCGCGCCGCATCGCGCCGCATCGCGCCGCCGCGCCGGCGGTTTCGCTACGGCTCCGGAGCTCCGGCCTGGTCTTTCATCAGTGTCTTCACCACCGCGAGGCCCATGTGCCTCGGCCAACGTTTGGAACTGCTGTTCGCCTAGTTTTCGCTGTTAGCTCCCCCAGTCGGTGTCGCTAGGCGCAGGCCCTCAGAATTCGTGTTCCATGCCTGTGCTCTTCCCGCAGTTGAGTGATCCACGTGAGAGAGGCAGCTCTGCGTTACTCTTCCCGCTTTTCAGGAACGGCTGAAGTGAACGTTTTGGCTGAGGGCCAACGTCGTCTACATCTGCAACATGCTCCAATTGTACATGTGGCTACGCACACCTGCAAGCTGGTGTGCGTGCAGGATTGGGTGCCGGCTGTAGCGTCACGATGTCACCTCCATAGAGTCCGTTGGGCCTCGTCGCTGACCGAATCGGCAGTGCTACAGAGCTGATGTCGAAATCCTAAGGCAAGGACGCCGGATCCAAGGTTCCTGTGGCCGGGCCTGGGTTGGATGCGAACAGAGCTTTTCGGAACCAAGACTCTGGATGTCATACGATTGAAGCACTTTGAAGGAGCTGCCGCTCCTACGTCCCCATTCAACGAGCACCGCCGAAGGCTGCATGGGGCCAGGGGTCACAGTTCGGTCGAGGCTGCCAATGCGCCCTGTCTCGGAAGCCAGTTGGGGCGTCTTGTCGGATTGCCATGCCAGCTGCATCTGCTTGCGGAAGGAAGAGCATCAGCTTTTGCAAATCAAGCCGACTTGAGCAGGCTTGCGCCCTGAATCCTTCAAGTACAGCGCATGTAATCACACTCCCTGCACTGAGGCGCAGGCAAGCATCTCCCTCATACTGAAAGCAAGAGCGGCTGGCCTGCGACGTGCAACTCTTTGTCGGTTCGTCGTTGGCGATGACCGGGGCGGATGTGCAAGCGTGACCGAAGAGACAAGCTGTCCGCATGCGCATGTGCAAGAGTCAGCTGTCAAACTTTGTGCAAACGAAATGGGAGAAGGCTCGAAAGCCTTAAGCTCTCGGGCTTCGGAAGAGCACTGGGGAGCAAAAAGCCAACAAGCGGAAGCAACCATGCTCCGAGGCAGCAAGATGTGATCAACTGGTGACTCTTGCATTACTGTATCATATTGTGTTATGTTACAGCATGTGATATTGCATCGTTTTGGTTGCATGAGTCCACAGTGCATAATAATTGGGTTAAGTTAAAGTATACTATACTACCTTGCGCTGTACTGTACTGTAATGAACTATACTAGACAGCATTGTGTTATAGTCCGGTATGTTATACTACAGTGCCTAGTTCATCACGGTACAGCGAAGTACAGTATAATACATCATGAAATATTATACGAATACCTGCCCCCTTAGGAAGGGGGTGGCCCGCATAGCACCTCGTAATGTGATTCCGAGATTCCCATTACTATCGGTGTTGTATTTGCTGCCACTTTTGGTGCAACTTGCTGCTGCTTTTGCTCCTGCTGCTGCTCTTGGTCTTGCTCGTGCTCTTGCTTCTGCTCCTACTCTCGCTCTTGCTCGTGCTCCTGCTTCGTCTCTTGCTCCTGAACCGCACAAAGTCAAAATACGTGTTAAAAGGCGGAGCAGCCAGGCGAAGATGCTCATGTATCATGAGTGCTTCTCGTCTACCAGACACGGAGAGCTTCCGAATCCGAGTGGCCCGTCGAAGCCTGTCTGTGTGTGCCTGCGTTTAGGTCTTGCAGAGCAAATAGGGCCCTGCCCCAAAGCGCTCCGGCCCTCAAAATGCTGACAATCTCTCCTTACCACCCCTCATCATAAATCCAGACCGGAGTTGAATAGTTGGATCAGGTGAGCAAGTAGTACATGTTAGGGTGAAATCCAACGTCTTAATCCACAAAGCGCAGCCTAAGACTTAGGCTGCGCTTTGTGGGATGTAGGGTTGCAGGTCTGTCTCTTGGCTTCCGCATGTCATATTGATCTGCATGGCATGCTGAAACATGACATCACATGACACGTTGCATCATATTGTATCATATAATAAAGTCGCATCTTTCATTAGACTGTGAGCATGTTCCTGCTACATAAACCTGCACTATGCTGCATTACACTTAACAGCTAGATCCGTATGTTGGTAATTAGTAGGATATGACTCTGTGGTTGCGCCAACGCTATATATGGTTGGTTGTACACCGCTTGTAGGCTATACTATGCCAGAGTATGCATACTATACTATACCGTGCCTTCCTGTAAGGTACCATACTATGCTACCCTGTACTGCACCATCAAAACCCATGATATATGTACGCATGCATGCATGCATGTATAGCGAGCCAGAGAGAGACAGACAAAGAAGCCGAGAGAGAGCGGGCGAACGGAAGGGGCCCTCATCTCGAAAGGTGTGAAGGTGTGAAGGGCTTTACGCAGGCGCACAAGCTCGGCCTCCACACTGGCGATGAAGAGAGATCGAACCGCGGAGTTGGAGATGCTCGGATCCTGCGCCCTTGGTTTTGCGACATCCTCTTTCATCGAATGGAACCACATGACTTCCAGAATCTCTGCCAATTCCAGGTCGGTAGCTTCCCACAAGGACCAGGCTGGATGAGGCCCTTGAAATCCGCGTAATTCAGCCGGCAAACTCGCTCGTCCTCCAAACACTTTCTTTAGTCTGACAGAATCACGTGGCCTTTCTCCCAACATTTCCACAGCAGCCACCCTGCCCGAATTAGCACATGATACCTGAAAAAACCGAGAGCATACAAGAGAGAGATGCTACAAGTTCTGTATACAACGGTTACCAAGGCCAACTGCTTTCAATGAATGTCTTCCGTTGCTTGCATGCCATGCTCCATAGCGCCGTAGCAGCCAAAACTCGGTTTAGAATTGTTTACCTTTTGAGAGGGTGCTTGTCGTTTGTCGGGAATTTGAACGGTGAGTGCAGCCAGGAATCACGGAACCAGACCCGTCTACAAGGCAGGGCAACAAGAGAATGCAATTGCTGGGCAGAGCAGGAGCCTGGCTCTTGTCGTCAATCTTATGATTGCCTGTGTGCTCCCGCATGCACACTGCACGTCGCCTGATTCCCCATGCGATGAACGATGAGGCCGCTCAGCTGCCGACGGTATATCTTGCGAAGGCCTTCCACACCTTGGTTGTGCAGAAGGGGAGACAAACGGACTCTGTCCAAGAGTTCGGGCATGAAGCTTTGAAAACAGATGAGGTTAGAGACGCTTGACGCCGCGCTTTTGATACATCCGAAACCTACTCAAAGCTGTCATAGCTAATCAGGTTCTATCTGCCATTGACAAGCATCCAAGTAAAAGCAAAGAATCGCCTAGGGCAGGGTTCCTTTTCGGACGTGGACTTTGTGTCCATGTGAAACACTGGCTGCCTGACCAGGATGGCAGAAGCCATTTTTCGATAATCGCGGCAGAGCTGATTAAACCTTCGATGTTACCTTAGGCTAACTTTACTCTCTTTCTGGTGCGATGCTTGTTCAAAGCCGCCAGACTAATAAGCATGGCAGACGCCACTGCACAATAGAAAGCACGAGCAATTGCTTAATCAAGGACTCCTGTCATCGATCTGGGACTGTTCCAGGCTGTCACGCAAGGGCATCATGACATGCACTAGCACGCACCTTAAATACCTACGTTGCTTCCTCGTGTTTTATTGCCGAGC